AGACTTAAGTTTGGCAACTAAGTCGAAGCACATTAAATTTTGTATATCACTTCTATTTTTGGTGTTATGGATAGTTTCATTAAATTTGGGGCAAAGTGTACCATCAATCATCAAACTTTTTAAAATCTCATCTAATTCACTGTACTTCTTTTCATGTCAATGAAGCCACAGAACTCATGAAATATTTCATTTTGATCATTGAAATGCTTCATTTTTATCATTTTGTCTAAAAAAATCAGTTAAGCGACATGGAATTTGCACCATATAATGTGTGCATGATATCTATATAACACTTTTTGGCATTTCACCTAATGATATCTAAGTCTCTTCATGTCTTCTCCAGGTGATTTCCTTCCTTTTTCATGTTTTCTGATTTTTTTTTCCAATAATGTGGAAATCCATCCATAATTACATTAAAATCATGATCTATACAACACATACATACATACATGGATATACACATATAAAATCATGATCTATACAACACATACCACATAATGTGTATGTATGATTGTGTGTGTATATAATACACACACAATCATAAATATACACACACACACACAATCATAAAGCCTCGGTAGGTAGTTAAAATGGTATTAACTTTGTGTGTTTTCAAATTTACCCTTATTTCTAACCTTTATCTCTATTATCAATCTCTATTATCTGTTAAACATCTTTTGTCACTTTTAAACTTTCATTTTTATCCTCACAAAAACTAAATTTTATCCTAACTATCCAATTATATAAAACCAACATAATAATTTTTGTTGCAACTACCAATAGGTTTAAATATCCAAACTTTTTATTATAATAAAAAAGGTTTAATTTCCAAGATGAGTACCAATTGACATAACTACCAAGATAACTATCAATTCATTAAAAAAAATTCCATAAAAATTAATTTATTCTTAAATTGCACACACATGAGTACGCCTTTAGCACTAGTCTTTACAGTAATAAAGCTTGTGTAGTATATATAAAGTCTAAGCAGGTTTCGTGTTAACAAAATATATCATTCTTTGAATTGTCAATTCGACACTTATTATTAAGGGCAAAACGGTCATGGTATAGTTACAATTAAAAACTTAAAACCGCGTCTTCCTTTTCCCACATTAATGCAGTTGCTCTTATTTGATTTCTTTATATTTATCTAAATCTCTGTATTTATCTAAGGATATTTGAAACACTCTAAAACTACTATGTATCTGCTACAGCACTACTCCCTTCGCCATTGATAAATAATCATGACCTCATTTTACTTGAATAATTTAGTTTTTTTTTTCTTTTTACAAACTTTTATGCTTTTTTCTCCTTTCATGTGTACACATTGCTCATATTCTCAGAGCATCATATGTTTCCCAAAGTGCACACACATGGAATCTGCCCCGATTAATAATATATATAATATCTATTCTATATATAAATATGTATAAAGTGGGAACCTTGAGTTTTGGCGTAAACATTTTTTTGTCACCTTTTGAACTTACATTTTTACCCTCATAGGTATTATGACTACCAAAGCATATCTTTCCAATATAACTAACCATAAACACACAACATATTATACTCTTAAAGAAAAAAAATCTTAAAGGAGGAAAGTCATGTTCAGTAATAAAAAATCTATGTAAAATAAGTTCATACAAGAAACAATTTATTTCTAAATTGCACACACACATACACATATATCTGTGTGTGTAAATAATATTTTATTAAAAGTATGTATTCTTTAAAAAATATTTGTCACTAGTGTTTAAGGTACACAATAATGTGCGTGCAACTAATAAAACAATATTATCAAAATATTTTAAATATATTTGATGAATCATTTTTAGGAGAATTGGGTTTATACATTTGATAATATAAATAGTAAAAAATTCACCAAAATAAAGTGAATAAATAGATAGTTATCTTTCATAACCATAATTAGTAGTTGTCAATATAAATTAGGATTAGCTAAATAAGTTCAAAATCAAAATATTTACCCTTTATTTCATTTGGTGTAAATAACATTCGCCACACTATGAACTTCGATATTACCCTTTGAAAATTACTTTATTTTAACTTTCTAAACACATAGTTTATCGTTAGTTATCTTGAAAAAATTTTTGTTTTAACTATTTACTTTTTAATATAACTAGCCTAAGCATCATAAATATCACTATAACAATTATTTTATAAAAAAAAATTTAAGAGGTTAAAGTTTGCATTAGCAATAAAAAATTCATATAAAATTCGTTTATCATAAATATTATGCATTTTTTTATTGCACACATATTGAGTGTGCAACAAACACTAATATCCCTAAAAGAAACAAACTTTTGATGTGAATTAAATTAAATTTTTTTATGAAAATTTACCAATTTGGTACCTCATATTTTCAGAAAAAAATTATTGTCCTTGCATTCAAAATCAGCCAAAATAGTCCCTCACAGATGAAAAAGTCTGCCGTTTTGGTTCCAAAGCACATTTTTGCTTATTTCTCCAACCAAAAATTGCATGGTTGCTTCACTTGCTTAACTCTGTGAGTATGGCTTGCGCTTGAAATTATGAACAAGTGAAGAAGGTGTGCGTTTTTGGGCGAAGAAGTGTGCGAAAATGAGTTTTGGGACCAAACGAGCATACTCTTTTTTTTATGTCGAAAGGACCATGTTAACTGATTTTAAATATTAGAGACTAATTTTTTTTTTTGAAATATAAGGGACCAAATTGGAAAATTTTCCGAAAGAAATTTGGGGTGACTTCGTGTATGCATGGTGAAAACAAGAGCAAGAAAAGATGACTTTTCTCACTTTTTCACAAAACCCACCCAGGAGCATCCATAGTTTTGTCACATCAAAGATGAAAACGTGTTACAAAAATTACAATCAAATCTACTAATTTTCTCTTGTTTTGTATTTTAACCGCAGTTTTTGCATAGTTTTTACATTTTCAGCCCCTATAATCTGATTTTATAGTGAAATCTTGATAGTGCCCTGACACTAGTATGCGCCTCATATGTGGCTTATATTGTCTGATTTAAACAATTTATTAGATGGAATGGTCAAAATAGAACATTTTAAGAGTTTATTAGTCCATTTGACACCAAACTATAGTATGCGCCTCATATGTGGCTTATATTGTTTGATTTAAACAATTTATTAGATGGAATGGTCAAAAAAGAGCTTTTTAAGAGTTTAATAGTCCATTTGACGCCAGTAAAATACAGTAGGCTAGATAAAATTTTGAACAAAGTTTGGTTACTTTAACTCCCTTTATGCTACAGCAAAAAAAAAAAAAATTTATGCTTAAAATTTATATTTTCTACTTTTTCAATAGTGGTGTTTATTGCGCATTGATTTCTAATTGTTGTAGGCCCTGTAGCTCTTGAGCCCAAACATTTCGAAACCCAAGTTGCAACTTGGTCATTATTTTGCCTCCCAACGATTTTTGTTTTGTTAATTGTCCTCTATTAGTCAAAATTCAGAAGTTAATAAAATAAATTTCCTTTTTAAAAAAATATTGGGAACCATCATAATGGAACTGCACCCAAATTATTTGGACCAGAGAAATTCAGTACCCAGCTTATTTTTTTATGTTTAAGATTTTGAAAACAAAAGGATAGTGAATGTTGCATCCTTAAAGAATAGAAAATGAAATTTTGGTTTTTTTTTTGAAACGACAGGCGACGGACTTAGGTCCTTGGAATGTAGCTTGAAAGTTATTGACCAAAATTCAATTAGAATATCTATATCTTAACGATATTGAATTCATTGTACTTCTTGGCCCTAACTAGAAAAACTCAATAGATTCTCACTTTGTTCTGCTCAAAAACCTTTTTTTTTAAGAATTAATCTTTTCTATATTGACGGTGAGTATTGAACCAACTACTCCTAACCTAGAGTAGTTGGTTACCAAAAAAGTTTTAATAATTTACATGGCTGTAGATTAAGGGATCAAATCTCTTGACCTGCATTCTAAAAATTCAGGATTTCTTGAAAGATTTGGCCAGCGGATACGTAAGCACCGTCTAATTTGGTGATAGTTTCAATCCCCTCTGAATTCCCCCCATAACCCCTTTGGATCCCATCCTAGTATAGAGTAGGAGTAGATGTAAACTGCTACAAGCACTTTAAAGTTACACGGATAAAACACCCAATAGTTTCATGAAACTCCAACTAACAAATGTGAAACTATTTTTTCTGCCCATAAACTCATCAATTTTTTGTTTTCCAGAGGAAATAATATTCAAGCCAATGCATCAACCTTTTCAGGCTCTGTCTGTAGGTTAAGCTAGATAGCATTGGATAGTATGCTAAGAAAAAAATTGAATGCAAAAAATTGAGGTTAAAGATGCATCGAAACTGCCAACTTTGCATGTTGAAACTTTGAAATAAAATTTTTTTCTTGAAATCTATAGCTTGAATCAACAATCAAAAACAAAAATATTAGTAACAAAACAGACATTTTACCAGTAGTACATATATGAAGATATTGTAAGTGGTGACAAGGAGTAGGAGATAGGCATCATAGTGCAAAGACCAATTTATAGATGAAGAATGCACCAATCAAGGGCACACTCAATTTGCCAAATCTCACAATTTTGTGCATTTAGAAATCGATCAAGAGCTTGAACAGTGAAGCCACATTGTAATCAATCTGAACACCGCAAACTGAGATTCAATGGATGATATGTTACTTCTACAAAATTCTGAATAGTTCTCTAATGAAGCAAGGGAATTATAGACAGGGAAGGTAATATGGTAAATACCAACGACATGCTTTTTCTGGTGCAATCTTGATGGCTTGCATCTCCTCACTTTCCAAATTACAAGCCTGTATCTCATTATGAACTTTATTTTGCCTGAAAAAGATCTGTTCATTGTTGCTTGAAACACAAACAGGAATCAAATCCCTGCTGCAATGGCTTCTGATGCTACACAGCTTCACCCACTCCTCTACAAGTTCACTGCATTTCAGGATCCACAACTGCATTTCATGCAATGAGGAATGAGTTACAAAGCTTAGAAACCATCCATCTCAATCAGTCTATCATGCAAGGCACTTCTAGTTGGCAAATTTTTCGTAAGAAAACCTTCCTCATCAAAGCTCATATACACGAGATAAGTGCACTCAGACTCACCAGGTAGCCAATACAACACTCCAGATTTTGAAATTGGAAGGGAGAGTGAATGAAATAGGAATTGAGATGGCCCTTCAACTGCACGCCAATATCTTGTTTTAAAGCTTAGTATCTCACAGCTGACATATCTTTCCCTATCACGAAACAAGTGCACGATTTTATATGCACTGGTGTAGTGCTTGCTCATGATTCCATATGATTGATCATCAAATCCAATGGTTCCTCCGGGGAGTCTTACTTGCTTCCCCGTGATCCATGAGCATGACACTTCTCTGATTTTCTGTTGTAACTAGGACCAAACCGTTACAAGTTGCAAGAATAAAACCAATATGATCACTTGGATTGTTTACATAACAGGTTTTGCTCTTCCCATCAGGCAATTGCAAGAAATAGAAGCAACATCTGTATGACCTAATGATGGTAGATATCTGAACAAATTCTGAGGCAATCCGAGGACTGATTGCAGGGACAATCTATCAACTTTTCCCTGATCAAGTTGCTTTAAAGAGAATGTTGCAGCTGTGGATTTCTGATATCGAGCTTCCCTAAAGATAGAACTGTTGATCAAGTTGAACCATGCCTTGCATACAAGAAATAGTCTGCAGAGCGAATCAAATGGAAGTAGAATGAGTACATTCAAAAGCAATGTCATCTGATTTACTCCCTCTGGCCCCGGAAAAACTTGCATCTCTATTTTCTCATTCTTCAAGATGTACTCTCTTTGAGTTCTCTTACAGCCCTTTAGCCCATCCATGGAAAATTCTGTTTGGTTGCTTTTTTCAACTGCTTTCCCGAACCTGTTGAATTTTTTAGCATAAAAATTGATTAAGTTGTTTTCTTCCTCCATTGCATTCTTCCAGAATCACACTTGTTTTATCAATCAAATCAAGGCATGATGTTATCCAGAATAACTGATACTCTTTGACTTGAAGAAATTTGATTTACCTAAAAGATGCGGATTATTCTCAATCACCTTTCCAGCTGATTGAGAGAGAAACTCTTGCAAACATTACATGTTTGTTCTAATTGAAATAGATGTGCAAAAGCCAAACGTCGTCCAACATGTTATTTAGTAGTTAATCTTTCACTTATCCAATATCTCAGACTCCAAGTCATAGGAACTCTTAATTATAGTAAGAAAAAAAAATGTCTAGCTTACCGGATTCCTAAAAGCTAAGAGCTGCAAATACCTAAGCAGAAATTTTGATCCATTTTGCAATGTTTGTGAAGGTTAATCAATCAGAGACGCAATTAGCTAGTTAGAAGCACGAGATATTGATGTGCGATGCTCAGTAATCTATATGCGAAGCACAACAATGCAGATCGTACACGGTCATTAAAATTGGGACTAACTTCACTTTACACCCTTGAATAAATTTCACACTTTGCACCCTTGAATTATATAAATTTCTCACTTTGCATTCTAAATTTTAGTTTTAAATACTTTGTACCCTAATTTTTCATAGGGCAAAAAACCTCAGCGGCCACTAAACTATTGATCAGATCATGTTTTGGCCATCAAACTATTTTTCGTCAGTAATTGGCCACTAAACAACTTAATCAGTAAACCCGTGACCATTTAGTCGATAATTGCTATTAATCTGTGAAATTAGCTGTACACGTGGCAAAGTGCGGGGTAATTTTGTCCAACAATTACGCGACCCTATTTCACAGATTAACTGCTAATTTTACAGATTAAGAGCAATTATCGACTAAATGGTCACGAGTTTACTAATTAAGTTGTTTAGTGGCCAATTACTGACGAAAAATAGTTTGATGGCCAAAACATAATCTGACCAATAGTTTAGTGGCCGCTGAGATTTTTTACATTTTTTTCATATTTATCTCACTTAAGGAATCGTTAACAGTGTTAGCAAAACTAACACATAAGGGGGACGAATTTCTCAAAATAATCATTAAAAAAAACCCACAAAAAACTAGGGGTCTCTCAGATCCTTTTCTTAATGAAGGGTTGCCGCACATGCTGGCAAATTTTTTTCTAAACAACGTGCATGGGGACACATTAATTTTTTTTTATTTTACATTCCAGTCCCTAGGGTCTGGACTGTAAAATTGAATTTTTTTTTTTTTTTAAAATATCATGTGTGGCAACACACTTATCAATTTTTTTTTCTTTAAAGTCTTAGTGTGTCGCCTCACACGAAATTACTCAAAAGGCCCACCAGCCACCACGCCTTTCGCCTCCCCTAATCTTCTGTAGTTGTGTATATTTCAATAGGCCAAATTGATTAACTGCAGAAACACCAATAAAAGAAAAAAGAGAAAAAAAAAACAGATCTTTAGTAATAGCACTAAACACTTGTATACAAGTTTTATCATAAAAGAAGATTATATATAGATTACCATAAAAGAAGATTGGATTAGGTGAAGAGGTTAAAGAAATTTTGACTTACCCGCTGGTATTTGCAGTAATACGAATATCAGACAACATGCGCTTTTGGAAAAACACAGAAAAAAAAAAGTAAAAAAAAGTGTAGCTTGACTCTTCTTCCTATTCTTGATGAGTGCATTTTTGTTTTTTTTGTATATCTCTATAATTTTTTGCGTTAGGATACTGGACTCTTGTTTTCGTTTTTCAGTCTTCTCAAGAAAAGAAGGTGTCCTAAAAAAATAAAAATTTGATAACCGTGCGGCAAAACACTAAGACTTTAAAAAAATAATAATAATTGCAGTGACACACTAAGATTTAAAAAAAATTTCAATTTTGCATTCCAATCCTTGGGGACTGGAATATAAAATAAAAAATTAATCTACTGCCGACATTGGTTTAAAAAAATATAAAAATATTGCCATGTGCGGTGACTCTAGATTAAGAAAAGAATATGAAAGACCCCTAGCTTTGTGATTTTTTTCATGATTATTTGGATAAATTTGCCTATTAGAGGACTCTGTAAATCATTGCTAGAAGTGGTCAGCAAAAGAGGAAAAGATTTGAATTTGGAACCAAATGCTATATTATCATTGCTTTGCATGGTCCTCTATTTAATTAATTTTGCTAAGATGTTGTTGATTGGATTTAAGTAGGACCAATCTAAGAAATTATAGTGCAAAGTATCCAAAATTAAAATTTAGAATGCAAGGTAATAAAAAAGGAATACAAGTTTGGGGTGTAAAGTCGAATTAGTGTTTTAAATTGAAAAAAAGAAAACCCTAAAGAGGAAAAATTTTGTTCCATTGACTCCAAAACATTCACAACCAAGAAGAGACAAGCCTTTCAACACGAATAATTGTGTTATATTCTTTTGTTTAATTGAAGCTTTTGAATTGTAGTACTTTATATATAAACATTATTCCATGAAAAACCACCGCTCAAACTTGAAACACAAGTAGAAATCGGATACTGTTTATAATGTTCAGAAAGAAAATTCAACACCAGCAGTATTCCTTTATGTAAAAACAGCATTGTTTCATATATAGTTTTGCTTTTTCTTCCTTTTTTTTTTCTGAATTTAGTATGTGCCCAACAAAGCATATAATCCCATTGTAGTACGCCAAGAAGGAAAAATATGCATCTTTATATGTTTTAAACGTGCAATCATGTTATAATGAAGAACGAATTGATAAAATAATCATACGCAAAAGAAAAGGAAAAAGAATTACCTGATTGTGAGACCAAAAAAACTGGTCATTTGAATGTTTTGATTTCCACGGCTACCGTATAGTGTACTACTTGTTCTATTCCATGGTGTAGTACGCAATGTCAAGCACAGTAAAAGGAATTTCTAGGGTTAGGATGTAATTTAGAGTTAATTACATCTCCTCCCCTTGGGTGTTGACCAAATTACAGTTAACGCTTAGGGCATCCAAACCCAACTAACAAGAAGTAAGGAAATGGCAAAAAATAGCCCTGCAAAAAAATTACATTTGCCTCCCTTGAGATTTGTTCAAATTTCAAAAAGAACCTAATAGTTCGACCAAAATGCAATTTAAGTTTTTTGAATAGCCAACTATATAAGAAGTCTCTTAAGTGATCCAAACAAGAAAAAAAAAACCAAAATTAAATGAAATTAATCAATTGGTTGCTACTAAGAAATGAAAAAAATTAAAAAATGAAGAACTTTCTTCCTATCTCGTCCATATATGTCTTATTTCGTTTTCTACCATACTCTCCAAATCCACTTTTTTCATACAACAATCATTCATTACAGTAACTTCTAGTGTTTGGTGTGGGATAATAAAATTGAGCTAGACCATTTGATCTGTTATTCATAATAAAATATTAACCTATTTATTCTTGTTTCTGGATAAGTTTCTTTCTTGAACTTCGACTTCTAATTTCCAAATAAGTATCTTTATCTGGAAGCCTTAGAATTTGTTGAGGATTTTAGTTACACAAATTGTAACCCGTAGACATGAAAGAATGCCCCCCAAAAAAAAGGATTACTAATTATGTGTAGTTTGAGACTTTTATTCAAAAATTTTGTTGCAATTGAATCAATCGACTAGTAAAAATTGTTTGTATGATAAATGTTTAAATATTTTAAAGTTTTGGACTGATTTGGATAAACTAGAGATTTATTTTATCAGTTGGACAAACTCTAGGTGAGCTAATTATAATTTGGAAAAACTTCGGGGAGGTGTTTGTAATCGATTCAATTTGCAAAAGGATATTTTAGAATTTTTAAGCATGCATTTTGATGATGGAAGCTTAACTTTTAATGGCAACTAATGTGATGGGGGTATTTGATAAACATTTGGCCATTAGAGGCGTATAATTATAATTTGATCAAATTAGAGGTTATGTTTTGTAATTTGACCAAACCTCAACGAAGGTAGACGTAATTAACTCTATAATTAAGTTTTGTTAAAAAGGATTTTGGCAAGCAAAAACTTGTCCATTGTAGAGTCTATTGTAGAGTTTTTGCCTACTACATGGTATTATGCGCCCGATAAGAGCAAGTAGTAATTAAAACAAAAAAACAAAAAAAAAGGAGGAGGAGGTAAACAATTATGGTAAGAAACCAATCCTTTTTTTTTTTTCTTGGAGGCAAGTTACACAAGGTAATAACACGAGATCCACTAGCGTGACAAATTAGTGTTCCATGGTTTAAGGACTTTGTTGCATGTAAGGTTAATTAAGCAGATCTTACAAGTGCTCCCACTTACACTAAAAAACAAAAGTAGATTTTACAGGCACCATTGAAACCTACCTCATAGTTGCAATTCCCTCCGCTTACTAGGATTCGGGTTTATTTGTTTATTTAAATGAATTTAAAATTGTGATTCAAGTTTGACTTATTTATTTATTGAACCGAATTCAAACAATTCTTTATTGAGTCAAATTTGAGCTAAGCTCTATGCTCATCTAATCAAATTTGAGCTAATTTAAAATATTACCTAACACAAAATGATGTTCATATTTGGTTTAATTAGTCAGCCAACTAAGTTCGAACCAACTCTAACTCAATTAAATTTGATTCGAGTATTCAGTAGGTTAGTGTGTCTTTTCATGCGCTTTACCCTTCAAAGACTCAACTAATGCATACAAATATACCAAAAATATGACTAGATTGTTTTGACGTCACTCATAAAACTTTTAGTCACATTACCCATTATTTCTCTTTATGGCAAAAATTAAATCTGCGAAAAGGGGAGAAAGTTCCAAAATTTAATCACTTCTTGCCACTTTTATAGTCTCCTATCATTTTTATGGATTTTATGAATTATTATGTACTTTTATACCTTTTTATCAGTTCTACACCTCAAGCGTTGAGACATAAATTTTTCCAACAA